GGAAATAAAAAGAAAAAAAAAAAAAAAAAAAAAAAAAGACAAAAAGAATGTACGTCACACTATACAGGGCAAGTTGTCACTGCAAACATGCAATTTACACGTCATACTTTTATTTGAAATGCCAAAATTAATCTAAAATATAAAAGCCACTAAAACACACTTCAGTGCAAAAGTTATAGGTTGGTAAACTTTTTAATTTATAACTTTTTTTTTTATCTAATTTATTCCTGTAAGATGAATTCTCTGCATCATTACTCCAGTCTTCAGTGTCACATGATCCTTCGGAAATCATTCTAATATGCTGGTTTGCTGCTCCAGAAACATTTCTCATTATGATAAATGTTGAAAACACTTGTGTTGCATGGTTTTGTAGAAACCATGATTTTTTAATGACTCTTTGATGAATAGAAAGTTCAAAAGAACCACATTTCTTTGAAATAGATTTATTTTTGTAATATTATAATAAATGTCTTTACTCTTACTTTTGATCAATTTAATTCATCCTTGCTGAGAATTACTGACCCCAAAATTTTGAATGGTAGTGTATTAAATACACAATATTCAAAAGCCTTTCTTAGCAATATTTAAGCAGTGAAACAATTCTAAAACATGAAAAACGAAAAGGTAACAGAAAAATGTCAAAACAGACTCTTACACATGTGACAACTTACCCCGGTCTCTCCTATACAGTATCTAAAATGTGTTGCAAGGTAAATATGTTGTTGAGTTGGTTAATAATACACTCTACTCTCGTGCTGCAATCACCTGTATAACGTCGCTGCGGTTCTCTTTAGTCCTTTAGGCCTGCTGGGTTTGGGTTCACCTGCCATGTTAATGTCTGTGAACAGAAGCGGAAAACACGCATTCAATCTAAAGTTTCATTTTATAAAAAGCAGATTTAAAAAAAGTGCACAGAGTAATTACATGACATACGTATTAAACAATGACAGATGGAAGAAGCCTTTCAAAGTGACATCTGCAGCTCTTTGATAATTGTACGTTACGGGGTGCACTTGAGGCTGTTATCTAATGACTCTGTAATTATCACGGTGAACTGACATTATGGACACTTGTCCTTAAGTGGGAGTGCTCTGATTTGCATAACCACACGCTCGGTGCGTCCACCAGAGGGCACTCGACACCCACGCAACCGGCCCAGAACGATCCGGCGTCTGTGCTCTTTCCCAGCACACTCCAGCCTCCAGAGTCTCCTCGGCTTCCACTTTATGACAGGAGAAGCAGAAAGAGAAAAATGGATAGCCGTGAAACAATGGAAGACATGCCTCTTGTCACCCGATTTCATATTTCCAAAACTCAAGCGAATACAGAGGTGAGCTTTGAGACAGCGAGAGGCGCCAGGGTTTGAGGGAGAGCTGTCAGCCGTGATGAGGCCAGCGGGGAACGAGTGGGGCCGCGTGAGTGACAGGTCACACCGGGGCTGTCAAGTGGAAGCCAAAGGCTCCGTGGAGCGCGAAACAGCGGCTAATCTGACCGCCCCAAAAAACACGTATGTCATCAAGCATCTGCAGAGGGCTGGAGGGCAAACGAGAGACGGACAAACAAAGATTGGAAGCGAAGGGACAGAGATCGAACTGAATCGAGGCGAGATAGCGACATAAAAGGTGGAAGCGAGCAAACGAACAACTGTCTGATGTCCTCAGCGTGACACGAACACCTGCCGCTGACACACCTGTCCTGCTCCTCGTTTATCTGAGGGGGGCGGGGCATCAGCGGTCGGTTGCCTGGATACCAGCACAGCTGACAAACCAATCAGTGTCTAGAGGTCACCTCGTAGAGGACGCACCATTACTGGCTGGCTGGTATGATGAGGCTTAAAACGACTTGATAACTGAAATAGCGCGGTGATCATACGACCCCACATTGACTGACTGTAATTCACTTGAAGTGGCACACGCTAAAGACGTACATATATAGATTTCACGGAACCTAGCTAGCGTGTACTCTAGGGCATGATAGGAATTGTTTATTGAGTTTCTCTGAACACTAAGGCTGTGCTTAGAATAATATACAGTACTACAATATCACTCTTGCTATTTCCAGTAAAATAGCATGCATATGTATTCTGTACGGCAAAATGTGAAGTGTACCACAAAGCATATGCCACAGAATAATATATCACATAATGCAATGCACTTAATGTGTCTTTTCATTTCTAGAGTGATTATTGAACCGTAACATCCACTGTCCAATAAATATTTGTTTTTAAATAAATACATATTATTATTATTATCATCATATTGTAATTTGAAAAATATTTTAACATTTCCAGTTATATAATATTAATTATATTTGTATTATTTTGCAGTATTTAAATAACAACAACTATTATTATTATACATATGTACTATATACTATAATATTATTATTGTTGTTGTTATTTTGTTATGTTTATATACTTGTAATAATAATAATGACTGTGTGTGTGTGTTATAAGTAACTGTTATAACTTCTGTTTGTAATGTTTATCATTGCATACATACTATTTCACAAACAATTTTTAAAATATAGTTGGCAGTATCCTGTAATCAGTATGCTATTACTTTCTGTCTAAACACATGCACACTGGTCTCCTGGCATAGTACATGCTAACAAAATTCCCTCTAGTAAGTGCCCTACTTTTATTACAAAACAGTGATCAGTACAAGTGCTCAACAACTACATGAAAAAGCTCAATACAAACTTAAAATTCACTGAGGTCAAGAACCCTGAAGAGCGGAGAATGGCACTGATGTCACATTGGCCTCCTTATAATGTTGATCTACTTGCTCTGAACTATATTGACCTCGCTTTGACCCCGTCACAGTGATGGCCACAGGAAACTGTCATCAATAGATATTAATCTTAACTGCTTCGGTGTCATGGGGCTCGCTCTTGGCAGCAGTCATAGCACATGCAAACCAAACACTCTACGGGGCGCTTAAAAAGTCTGTTCGCTCCTACAGCAAGTGTTGTGCACTCTTTTTAACCTTGGAGAGATGATATTCAGATGTGATATATAACACATATATACAATTAATATTATTGTCTAACTCACCGAGGGTCTGTCCAGCAAGCACACGTCCATTTTCTCCAATGACGGCTCCACGAGCGTGTCTCTCATTAGCGTACTGAACGAAGGCGAAGCCTTTGTGAACCGAGCAGCCCAACACACGGCCGTATTTGGAGAAGATCGTCTCGACGTCGCTCTTCTTCACCACCGCTGTGTTCAGGTTGCCGATAAACACACGTGAGTTGATAGATTTGGGGTCATTTTTGTTGGTAATGTTGCTCGTCTGGACTTTCAGCGACATCTTGGTTCAAATGTGAACAACAATCTGGAGAAGAAACAAATCACATACGTTTAGACCAATCGCTGTATAAGTAGGTACATTCTGGATACTGTGAAATGAACAAACCATATTCCTAACTGAAACAGACAAAAACTCTGCATAGATTTCTTAAATGCATAGATGACTTATCTATGCATAGATTTCTGCATAGATGACTTAAAACAACAAGCCATGAGCAGTGTTACAATTACTTTAGTGATTAAACTTCCCTTAATTGTATAAAATCTGAAAAATGTAAACAACAGATGAATAGTTAAACTGTTTATTTTCAACAAATTCAAATAATAATAATAATACATATTATGATTCATTATTATTAATAATTATTATTAGTAATAAAAATGTGTGTATTATTAGTATTTATTATTAACATGATCTTAAAATTATTATTTATATGTAATATTAATCATTATTAAAAATGTAATATAAATTATTCATATTCTGGTAAATTATTTATATAAATTAATATGAATAATATATTTATTTAAACAAGGTTTATTATTATTATTATCAAAAATATTATAACAATAAGCAATATTAATTAGTACATATTATTTAAAATTCTATGTAAAGATTATATATTAATAATAACAATAATAATAATAATAAATCAAACAATCCTCTAAAATGTATTTTTAAAAAATCCTCTGTCAGGTAATATAATTACTTCCCAAGCCAGACAATCCACAGAGAGATATAATAGATAGGCCTACAGTATGTCTGGGGTTTTAAAGGTGCTGATTTTGCCCTTGAGCAAACATTACCCTATGAATCATCCTGAACATGGACACGCCTTGACCTATATATCGCCTAATTAATGAATAAGTGATCAAAGCTCTCCTGACACCAGCATAGCATGTCTGATGTACACCATTTCTCACGGGCAAGACCGGCTACACCCCACGCAGTAAAATCAGACAGAACTGTAATTAGCACACTGATCAAAGTGTTAATGACAGGCCGTAAGAAAGAACAATCACTCATGAGATCGCTATAGTATTTCAGTTGTTTCTTCTAGACTGTAATGGCATTCAGCTGAGAGGAAAGTGAGACTTTTCTTAAAGGGATAATTACATTTTCTGTCATTATTTACTCACCCTCAAGTTGTTCCAAACCTGTATGAGCTGTTGAGCACAAACGAAGATACTTGGTAACAGGATGGTAGCCATTGACTTCCATAGTATTTTTTTCCACACTATGGAAGTCAATGGCTACTGTCAAATGTTTGGTCACCAACATTCTTCAAAATCTTGTTGTTGTTTTTTTCCCAGTAGAAGAAAGAAACTCGTACAGGTTTGGATCAACATGAGGGTGAGTATAAAATGACAGAAATGTCATTTTTGGGTGCCTATCCCTTTAAGACTCCTCTATGTCATTCACACAATTAACCCATTCAAGTGTATTATTTTACACAAGTTTAATTAAAGTGAGACCAAAAAAGAAAAATAAGGATGCACCAATTTGGACATTTTTGTCAGATATAAATGTTTCTTTTAGGGTGCTTTCACACCTGGCCTGTTGTTTCAGAACCTGGTGCGTTTCCCCCCTTAGCTCGGTTCGTAAAATGAACCTGTGAATGTCTGTTGGTGAGCACATCTTTGCCATTCAAAATCAAATCGCACTTTTTTTATTTTATAATGCCGTCTTATTGCTCTTCTTTGTAGTAGGTGCATTTTAAAAATGTTTTCCCAATCAATCCTAGACTCCTGCTCAAAATGATAAATGATTATAAGCACAGCTACAAAAAAACAACAACAATAAGTCCGCGAAGCTGTTATCGTTCCATCCTGACGGATGACATGCGTGACAGTTGTAGTAGGTGCATTTTAGAAATGTTTTCCCAATTAATCAGTTTACACGCGCGTGACTTGTATTAACAAATTTGGTCCATTTAGAAACTTTGCCATGTGAAAGTGAACCACACCAAGAATAAAAAGCAACATTGTAATAATTTTAATCCCTGTTTCGGAACAAAGCAATCGATCTACAGGTGTGAAAGCACCCTTAGACTGTAATGGGATTCAGCTGAGAGGAAAGTGAGACTTTTCTTAAAGGGAAAGTTCCATTTTCTGTCATTATTTACCCTCAAGTTGTTCTAAACCTGTATGAGCTTCTTTCCTCTTTTGAGCACAAATGAAGATATTTTGAAAAATGTTGGTAACCAAACCGTTGACGGTAGCCATTGACTTCCACAGTACTTTTTTTTCCACACTATGGAAGTCAATGGCTACTGTCAACTGTTTGGTCACCAACATTCTTCAGAATATATATATATATATATATATATATTTTTTTTTTTTTTTTTTTTTATTTTTTTTTCAGCAGAAGAAAGAAACTCTTACAGGTTTGGATCAACATGAGGGTGAGTAAATAATGACATAAAAGTACATTTTTGGGTGAACTATCCCTTTAAGGCTCCTCTAGAAGTTCAGAAGAGATCTTAACAACTCAGATTTGCCAGTCTACAACCAAACGTCAGAGATCTCAATATGAACTTAATATGAATATGAATTCTGAGTGATTCGATCCACCTAAATGTTTAGTATGACACCCACCCACTATTCACAATCCAATCAATGGATAAATTACATAAAAAATTACATTAAGAGGTAAATTGGACTGCATTTCAAAAGATCAACCTCCAATCAATAGTTTTCCTAGAAGAAGGCTCTGCTTTGCTTCTCATACATTTTATGGTGAAAGGACATGAGAAGATAAGAGTATTTGGACCTTATTATGGGGACAGAAAAGAAGTCTGAGGTTAAAAGACATGGTGCTTCTGACCGCTGCAGAAGTGGCCCACCGCTGTTCCTTATTAGCAGTCACCAAACGTGAAATCAGGAGAAAGTGAAGACCAAACTGCAAGTCTGTCAGGGTCAAATGACTGTGTCCCAGGTATCAGGTCTACTGTGAGGGCCGTTCAGACCACGGCTCCCCTCTGACAGTCTGCTAATCACACAACATTTTCACAGAGCAAGCGAACAGGAAGGTCATTTAGTGCAAAAGAGACGTTTCTCCTCTAATTACTAGCGACTCTGTACATCTCACATTGCTGGGGATTGTACAAGTCTTTGAAGCATGTGCTGTCTTTCTTTCCTCTTTGTTATAATGACTAGGGCAATAAAGGTTTTTGAACTGCATGCTATCATCCCGCTTGCAGAAATAACTAGCCAATTCGCTGCTTTGTTCGGACTCGCCTTTAAAGTCCTGCCTCCGTGAGGCCCATTAACACCTGTTTAAGAGTTTCTAAAGAGTTTGGTTGTTGAAAGCGGCAGAAGGTTTAGGGATCGTGGATTGTAATTAAATGATCGATTAGACTGGGAAAATACTGGACCGGATTCCTACATCACGCCATGTTGGACAGCATCCTGACAGAAAGCATTCATGCGGCTAAAAGACGCACACTACCTCCGGCTAACTAAATGAGTTGTGGGTTTCAGCGCTCCCATTTTTCCTCATTATGTCATTCACACAATTAATCCATTCAAGCGTATTATTTTGCAAGAGTTTAATCAAAGTGAGACCCAAAAAGAAAAATAAGGATGCACCAATTTGGACTTTTTTGTCGGATAAAACAAAAACAAAACAAAAAAACTATAGGGTACTTTTTATTTTTTTCAATTTGTTTTTTTTTCTTTAGAAATACACATTTAAATAAACACATAATATTATCATAATTTACAGCTTTCAAAAGTTTGGGGTCAGTAAGATTAATCAAAAATACAGGAAAAACACTAAATGAAATATTATTACATACTATTATTAAAATAACTGTTTTCTATTTTAATATTTGAAATAGTTTGAATATTTTTTAAAAATATTTAAAAATGTAAATTACTACTGAAATATATATCTTTATTGTAGTGCTGCACATTATAAATGTATTGTCACTTTTGATCAATTTAATGCAGCCTTGCTGAATAAAAGAATTAATTTCTTAAAATAAACCGAAACTTTTGAATGTTAGTGTAAATATTCTATTAGAATTATTCAAAAGACAACATTTTCAATATTGTAGTGTCTGCACTTCTCAACAATAATCCCACTATTTACCAATTGTAGAAAAACATAAGAACAGTATAATTGTGATTGTGAATATTACAATTAAAATTGAATGTCAAAGTAAAACACACATTTAAAAATGAATGTGACAGTAAAACACACACACACACTACAGACTTCAGAAGTTAAGGTAACTTAAAAGCATTCTATTTTTACAACAAAACTCTTTCACAGATCAATCTGTTTTATTATGTATTACCTAAGACACAGCCATGATGCAAATTAATCTTTCTGAGTAAATTAAGAAAGTTTACCAGCCGTGAAACCACATTTTGCATCATTTTTATTAAATATATACTTGATAATGAAATATTTTGCTGTCTTGTTTCTTCTACTCTACAAACTGCGCTGATCACTCCACTGTAAAAAAAATATATTTTTTATGTAAAAAATTACATATTACTGGAGTAAGTTTTACGAGGCAATACTATTACACTTTTTCTACTTCAAAATTTCTTGTTTAATTCAATGTGCTACTTGCCATTTCTTTATAATTGTTTGTGAAATTTATTAGCAATTTCTGTGTTTTTTTTTTCAGATGTCACTCGCAGCATACCTCTTATCAAATATTTATACCTCTTATCAAATATTTATAAACTTGTTTTGGTGATTTAATGTGAGCAATATATCACATACATTTCACACATTTTCAGATTTCATTGTGTTCACTCATTAGACTATGAGCAGTATGGCAAATACATAATTGGCTAAGGCATCTCTAAAAACAAGAAAAGCTGGCATATTTAATTAGCCGTAATGTGGTGAGCAGAGGGAACTGTTTTTTAACAGTGTAATGGATAAAATGAACAGAGCAGAGATTGGATTGGATAGAGTCCAGGCCAAACAGCAGCACGATCCGTCAGGGATAGAGACACCAAGCTCTCTCTCTCTCTCTCTCTCTCTCTCTCTCTCTCTCTCTCTCT